CAAGGCACTTTTAAAAAATCTTTTTAAAATCCTTTCCTCCAAAAACAGGAAGGAAGGAACAGGTATGCATACTTTAAAATACTGATATATATATATATATATATTTTAAAGAAACCCTTCAATGCCTCCAAGTCCTTGCCAAAAACTGGGTGAATACAATGGGAATCTCTTGCATTTGCACAAGAAAATTGCAGGGCCTCATATGGCCAGAAATGGCTCATCCCCCTTTTAGCACATATTGTTCATGCATATGAAAACTCTTGCAGTTTATTTTCTATCAGTGATGCCTTCTGAAAGCTTTTATTCTCCTTGCCTTTTTACTTTATTCTTCAAAGTCAACTCATGCACCTCTTAAGCTATTATTTTGCAGCTAGAACTATTTGATAAATGTAGTTCCAAGGAATGAGATCCAAGAGGCACTTGTTAATTTTTCTATTCTTTTTGTTTAGGATCATCTTTCATAATGGAAAAGGAAACCTTGACCTTAAGCTCTCATATTTCTACAAGCTTTAACTCATAACACATCTTTTTGAGGCTTTTAGATTTTACATCTTTAACTTGGCAACATAAAGAACTTCACTGGGCACTGGAAGAAAAAAAGCATTATCTCCAGCACAGAAATATTTAAAACACAAAATAAACTTTTCTTCCTCTGCTACAGATCAGAAAAGAACAACTTTGCTGGAAGGAATTTAAGATTATTATGTGTTAAATAATATCAAAGATAAAAGTGTCCATGTGAGTTGAATTTAAGCTATCAATACAACATATTTGTTAGACAGAAATATTTGGCTGAAAATAGATTTTACTTTAGAATGTGTTATGTGGTCTTGAGATGATTCTGCTGGACCAGCAGAAGTGGAAGAAGAAATTAAGTCCTTGAAAAAAGGGCAATCATGTTAGTCTTGTTTTAGCATCTTGAAGATTATCCACCATCTTTCCACCAGTATTTACATATATAAAAATTCTCATTTCCCCATATTTCCTAACAAACACACCCTTATTATCAATCATATCCCATACATGATTCTGAAAATACATGAAACTACCAATCACACTTCCTTATCTTACTCTCTATTTAGTGTGGTACATTCACTATGCATTATATTTATTATCACACATGTATTATTTAGTTATTTTAGTAGTAATAATTATAAGAATACCCAATTCAGCAGTGTCTTCAGCAGTGCTACCTCTATCATATGCTCAGTAGGTAACCCTAAATCTCATTCTTTAGTACCTTTCCTTTTCTTTGATGTCCATTTTCAGATCCAGTCTTGACACTCTCAAATAATACAGTCCTCCATTCAAACCCTCTCATCATCATTATACTCTTCACTAACCCTCTCAATCTTACAACACAAATAATCAAATCAACTGAGCTCACAATTCATTCTTTTTCCATGAATGTGCATGAATTTGGGGGTCTAAGATCCAGTAACTTTTCTGCACTTTCCTGTCTTATTCTTCTCATGTCGCCTACCAGACAAAAAGGTTTTCCCTGATTACAACTGTAGCTGCTTTCTCAAAATTGATTTGTTTCTTCTATTAATATTATTGCCTGTAGCACAAGATGCATTTCTAACCAAGGTAAGAATTTAACAACAATCTAGTCTAGATGACACCAATTCATACTTTACAGCGTATATTCCAAAAAATCAAACCATTTTCAGTCAGACCTACTATAGGCAACATATCTGTCTTCTTTTCTTTCCTTGTTCATACATTCATGCTCTTTAGTATTTCCTCCTTTAAATTCCAAGTCACGGTCTTGAACAATCAATATTTTCACATCATTGTTTTTAGTAAGATAGAGAAGAGGTAGACTTAGTTATGTCCATGCTACCTACTTGATTCTCCACTAGTAAAAACAAGAGCAATCAACTTGGACCCATATGGGGTAATATATCACACGATAGCCAAAGCCCAATTTTGCCCAAACAGGTTCACTTTGTTCTGTACAAACTTGGATAGCTTACTAAAGCATCTCTTGCAAGCCAAAATAATTTTTCTACCAAGAGGAAAGTATAGTGATTAATCATTTCTATTCATGTTTAGGAAAGTTTGTGGGTTTCCTACCTTAAAATTATGCTAATTATTGTTGGTAGTGATGACAGAAGGAGACCAAAAGCCCTCAGTTTCAGGATACCTACCCTTGGACTAACCCTATTATTTTCTCCTTACTTTATTTAGAGTAAACATATGTATAGGCAAATGAATTTACATTTTTATTGCAGCATTTTTTGAATGCCTGATTTCTAGGCATATCAGCATTGAGGGGACACCCTGTAAGGAGGAATACACCTTAGTAGCTAGTTCCTACTGTACTTAAGGACTTCCCCCTTTAAGTAGCAACAAGCCACAGTACATAGGATAATAGATGGGGTTAGTGTCATTGTAGGCTGCTGCATATTCTCTCTGATCATTGTCCTCTGCATTCTGCTTTGAGAAATGCAGATCTTTCAAAGAGGCTTTCCTCTCTACAACCCATGTTCCAATCTCAATCCTTGTGTCAGATCCCTGGATCATGCCAATGATGTCAGAAGGGGGAACTGCATAGTGGATGAGAAGAGAAACAGAGGTTTGGAGAGTAAAAAGAGCCTCTACTTACCCTTCACTTGCTGCCTCTCCTAGCCTGAGTGCTTATCCAAAGGCTGGAAGAAGGGTAGTGGCAAGGGAGGTTAAGTTCTGACATCAGGTGCCCAAATGAATTTCATTAACTTGAACTGATTTTCTGTGATACCATAAGCCTATTAACACCATTCTAGCTGCAAACAGTAACAGATCATACTTATTTCTGGTTACAATCAGTTATAATCCCAAAGTAACCCCTTTGAATCAGGCTCTACTCAGCCTTCAGTACAGAGCTGAAACAAAACTGTTAGTGTTGCTCAGTTAGAGAGGAAAACAGACGCAAAGGAGAAGAAATTAGTATTCAGGAATATTGTAGAAAATAGACCAGAAGAAAAGGGAAAGGTTTCTTAGATATGGATGGTCCAGTTTGCCTTCTGCCATCTGCTCTAACCCTTCGGATCATCTGGGGCGTAATGCAGCTACACTGTAATTTTGCTCACCCCGGAGTCGCCACAGCTACGCTGCACTGCCACAATCTTCCTAACTTTTCGGAAGAACCAGAGAGCCCCTTTTTTGGGAAGGATCCAACACTTCCACCACTTTTCAATCAAAGACCAAGATCATGTAATCTGCAACTCTTACACTGAAAAAACATATGGACTACACAACTCGATCAGGGCAAAGCAATAGACGCAATCTACATAGACTTCTGTAAAGCCTTTGATTCAGTGGTACACGACAAGCTACTCCTAAAACTAAAATCTTGTGGTATCTCTGGACACCTGCATAACTGGATAGAAGCATCCCTGTCAAACAGACAACAAATGGTCAAAATTGGGAGCGTCCTATCAAATTCTGTACCTGTCAACAGTGGTGTTCCCCAAGGAAGTGTTCTAGGACCAACTCTTTTCATATTCTACATAAATGACCTCTGTGATCATATCAAGAGCAACTGTGTTCTCTTCGCTGATGATGTAAAGCAATTCAACGCCACAGACAATATTGCTACTCTTCAAAAAGACCTTGACTATGTATCAGAATGGTCAATCAAATGGCAACTTCAAATCTCAACAAATAAATGCTCTGTCCTACATACTGGCAAAAAAAATCAGAAAATAAAATACAGGCTGAATAGTCAAGACCTTGTTGATGATCCAAACTCTCTCAAGGATCTTGGAGTACTCATCTCAAATGACCTAAATGCTAGAGCCCACTGTAACTACATAGCCAAAAAGGCGTTAAGAGTTGTTAACCTAATCTTACGTAGCTTTTTCTCTGGTAATATTACACTAATAACTAGAGCATACAAAACATTTGCTAGACCAATACTCGAATACAGCTCATCCCTCTGGAACCCACATTACGTATAGAAATATTTCACAAGAAGAGTTCTCCACTCCTCTACTTGTTGCAGAATACCTTATGCTACCAGACTTGAAATTCTAGACCTAGAAAACCTAGAACTACGCCGCCTTTGGTCTGATCTTAGTATATAAAATCATTCATTGCAATGTCCTACCTGTCAACGAATACTTCAGCTTCAACCATAACAACACAAGAGCACACAATAGATACAAACTCAAGGTTAACCGCACCAAACTTGATTGCAGGAAATACGACTTCAGCAACAGAGTGGTCAATGTCTGGAATACTCTGCCTGACTCTGTGGTTTCTTCCCCAAACCCCAAAAACTTTAACCTTAGACTGTCTACTATTGACCTCACCCCTTTCCTAAGAGGTCTGTAGGGGGCGTGCATAAGCGCACCAACGTGCCTACCGTCCCTGTCCTATTGTTTCTTTTATATATTTTTTATTTTTCTTATATGTATCCATATATTCATAACTATGTTTTTACTTATACCTATTATCTTGTAAGCAATTACAAATAAAAAATCAATCAATCAATCAATCGTAGCCCGGGTGATGGACGCATGGAAAGCCGCTCTGCAACTCCAGAAGCCCCGCAAATTCCAAGCAGCTTTTGACCCAGGAATGCTATGCCGTTCCTTGGGGCGGGGGGGGGGGGGGGGGGGGGGGGGGGAAAATCCAAGTGGTTCACCCACCAACTCTAGCGAGAGTTCCGAAATTCGTGGGGTCGCGTGCCAGGAGCTGCCTTTTCTGAACTTTAGAAGTCTCCCCCTGAGCCCGCTGCTAGCATAGTCCAACCCACCTATAACAGCAGGCTCGCGAGATCCCATCCTGGCAGCTTCTGCACCCTCCGGTACCTTGACGGGCCGCGCTGTCTGCTCCCCCGAAGAGCGCCAGGTCTTTCATTCCGACCTTTTTGCCCAAGATCAGCAGACATTTGGCCAGCCCTGCTTCCCTAAGCCCGGGTCTGAGCTAAGAATACAGGGGTATCCTTTGAGATATGCCGAGGGGCAGGCCGGCCGGCCGGCGCTTGCTCCGCGCCGGGTTAGAGCGCTTACCTTCGGGTTGGTGAGGAGCTGATGCTCGTCCGGGTGCAGGAGCGCCCGGGCGTTGGATTCGGAGTTGTTGACGTAGATCTGGAGGCAGGGGTACAGGGAGGTGCCCTTGCAGTCGCCGCCACACGTGAACGTGCACTCGAAAACCTCGCTGATCCGTTGCACCGACAGCACGGTGCAGTTCGCCGCCTTTCCTTGCAAGTCCTGTAGGGCCGGGTTGAGCCAACAGAAGCCCAAGATGAAAAGTGACAAGATCCCAGAAACGATGAGAAACAAGCCCAGCCGGATGGTTTTGTCTTCCGCTTCGGTGTATTCGTAAGCCACTCGGATCTTGGCCATCGCCCCGCCTAAGAGCCTGGAAAGCAGCGGAGCGGGGAGGGGGGGGCGTGATTGGGGACGGGGAGAGACTGGAAGCAATCGCAGCAATGCCTGGAGGTTGCTTTCCGCCCACCAGGAGACAAGAGGAAAACCAGCAGACCAAGGAAGAGCTGGAGCGCCCGTCGAAGAAACTCCGGCCGAGCCGAGCCCACCTGCAGGGCTCGCCGAGCCCACCTGCAGGGCTCGCTCCGGCTGGAAGGCGGCCCGGGAAGCGATGCCAGCCAGCAGCTGGCGCTCAGATCCGTTTGCGAGGCGGGGCGGGCGGGCGGGCGGGCGGGCGAGTGGGGAGAGAAAAAGTCAAGGCAGGGTGCGAATCGCCAAGGAAACGGCCCCTGGCCGCACCTCCTTCCTAGCGAGGCGAGGGGGCTTTCCGGCTGTCGGCCTCCTCCTCCCACCAAGCGATCGGGGATGGCCGGGAGCCCGCCAACATCTGCCACGAGGTAAGCTTCTTAGCGGAGGCGGGGAGCTGAGCGGGCTCCGAGCTTGATCTTCTGCCCCCTCCCATGGATTGCCTCGTGGGGCTGCCCATTGACAAGGCGAGAGGGTGAGCCGAGGGATCCGCTGGCGGGCAGCGACGCTCCGGCCAGCCTTCCAACGTCCGCCCCCCCCCCCCCCCCCCCCCAACCCTCGGTTTTAGAGCGAGGGAGCAGCTTGGCTCGGGATTATCTGCCCCGGCGATTTAAGCTCCGGAAGAAGCAGTCGATTGCTTGTTTGGGTTAGGAGCCGCGAAAGGGAGGGTCCCGCAATCCTGAACGGGGCAGCGCCACCGCCACGTGAGAGCTGGCAAAGCGAGGCTGCCCGCGCACGCCGGCAGCGCGGCTCTTTTGGAGAGGATGAAGAGGGCGGGTTAAACCTCAGGGAGACACGCGGTATTATTGTTGTTGTTGTTATTTTCTTTTCCCACCTGCCCGCTGAACGGCCTCGGCCTCGCCCCCGAATTTGCAGAAGAGATCAGAACAAATATACTTGACGCCGATGAGTGACGGTTGCTTTCTGCCCATTTTTGCTGCTCGCAAGACGAACGGAGTCATAAATCGTCGGACCCCCGTTTATCACCAGGCACCAAAGATCAGGCACAAATTATGCCACGCAGAGACGCTTTGCGAAGACCCAGCTCCCTAGCCAAGACCCTCACCTGGGAATGGTGGCATGAAAGACAGAGGACAATCAGTAGCAAAGGGGATCGGTTACTGCAATGTGCCCACCACGGACCAAAGGTCTCAAAGGCTTGTTTGGGAACAGATCCTCCTGGAGAAAATCTAATTGTTAAGAAGTGACAGTGACTTGATGGCCCATAATCAATCATCATTACATGAATTGGAAATAGAACCGTTGTTTTTAACAAAGCAGATGAATGAAAAGGCCTAACAGAGAATGAGCATTCTTCATCTATGATACTTAACTTTATTTCATTATTGGAAAAACAATAAAGGTAGTCAATCAGTCTGTCACAGGAACTGGCCACTTTATAGACAGCCTATCCTATGAATTCAGCTAATTGCTACAATTGTTGTATATATTTCACAATGTATGTTTAAAGAGGTACATCACCTGTTACTGAAACTTACAGACAGAAGCTTGAAGTATTGCAAAATGTTAGTGCTCAGCTCTGGGTTCAGCCAAAATGCACAGCTCTAACAATAAGTGAATACAATTAAACAAGCAAAGGTAGCTCAGGACAGAATGCCTTCAAGGCAAAAAAAAATTTAAAAGTTCAAAGGGCATGGAATCAACAGAGTAGTATAGTCAGGGAGACAGAAAGTAATCCTTTCAACCCTTTTTTGGGCTCATACAAAAACCTACTTCCTCTGAAGCTTGCAGAGTGAGGCTTAGGTTTTACTTACTCCTTTTTTTTAGAAATGAACACTTCCTTTGCTTCTTATAAATTAAAACAAAATGGCTCTTTTGTATTGCTTCAATGATTTCACTTTAGTTTTTATTATGCCACCCCCTCTCCTGAAAAATATGGGGGCAGGGAATCACATATTTTTCTTCCAGTATCACTGTTCAATTCTGTGGAAATGTAGGCAAATTGTTTAAAAAGAAAAGCAGGAATATTCAAAGCCCATCAAGTACTTCTTTACATAACACCTAATTACATGTGGCAAGTGCTGCCATCAGAGGAGATGAATGGAAATTGTTTTCACAAGGAGCTAGACAAATTCCTGAAAGATTGGACTGCTAAAAACCCACCAGTCTTGGATTACAAAGTGGGGGTGGGCAATGGCTCAGATGTTAAAGAAGCTGAGTTTATTAGCTGGAGAGCTGACAGTTCAGGTTCCAGACCTGAGTTTACTTGCTCCAGCTAACCTAACAGTTCAAAAGCATGTAAAAGCAAGTACCGTGTTTCTCATAAAATAAGGCCGGGTCTTGGGTTGTTTTTTTTTTGAGGCCCCCAAAAATAGCTAGGATGTCTTTTCGGGGGGTGACTTAATTCCCCCCCCTTGTATCCTCACCTAGAACGCACCCACTCCTAATGGGCAATCATGGTGGAGCGCGGAGAGCTGCCTACTCCCGTCAAGCACCTTTGCTGCAGACCCGAGACCTTCGGTGCCTGCCACTGTTGCTTTCCCTTCTGCCCATGCCGCGGTGGCGTTTGGAACTGCCGCTTCCATGTTTGAAGCACTGCCACCATTTGGAGCACCACCGCCGTTTGGAGCACTGCCGCCCATGTTTGGAGTTGCTGCTTCCATGTTTGGAGCTGCCACTTTTGCATTTGAAGCTGCTGCCGCGTTTGGAGCACCGCCACCATTTGGAGCACCGCTGCTGCTCCAAACGCACTCCAAACGGTGGTGGGTCTCCAAATGTGGAAGCTGCAGCTCCAAACATGGCGGCAGTGCTCCAAATATGGAAGTAGCAGCTCCAAATGCAGCGGCGGTGCTCCAAACGGTGGTGGTGCTCCAAATGGCGGCAGTGCTCCAAACACAGAAGTGGCAGCTCCAAACACGGCGGCGGCATGGGCAGAAGGGAAAGCAACAACGACGGGCGCTGAAGGTCTTGGGTCTGCAGCAAAGGTGCTTGGCAGGAGTAGGGAGCTCTCCACGCTCCACCATGATCACCCGTTAGGAGCGGCTGGTGGTGAGGCATGGCTGTCCATGGGGTGCTCCTAACGGCAAGTCCCCCCTGCCCTTCCCCCCCATTTTGCATGTTTTAAAATAGGCCTAAATTTGGGGGGAGGGGCTTAATTTCATTTTATGCCAAGAAAACATGCTGGGTCTTCCTATTGAGAGGGAGCGTATTGTTGGAGAAACACGGTAGATTAATAGCACTTCAGAGGGTAATAGCATTCTGTGTGGTTTTGATGTATAGCCATGCTGGACACATGAGCACAGAAATTGTCTTCGGTCAAGATTGGCTCCCTTGGCCAAGAAACAGATGAGCACCATGCCCTAGAATCAGACATTATAGATAGTGAAACCTTTACCTTTACCTTGGACTACAAGCAGCCTAGCTTAAATTCCACCTGCTAGGGAATAAAGGTGATTTTGCTCATCTGCTGTACTTTTGAGTTTTCCAGGATACATTCCTGGATTCTACTCTTGGGCCTTGGTCTAATCCAAAAATACTGTCCTAAAGGGGGGGGGCAAGTTGATAGTGTCCAACCTAATGCCATGCAGTTATGGAAAAGACTATGTTCCTCATGTTTTCCCATAATAGCAATAGCATGGTTAAAATTGGGGGAGACATGAGCATGATCTGCCTCCTATTGCCTTTCTCTTTATGCATTGTTGTTGTTTCCGATACTTTTTATCTTCTTTACTCACAATATTCATTCTTTTTTCATCACAAATCTTCCTTTTATGCTGAGGCTATAAAGAAAGAGTGACTTGATAAGAGGGGTATTGGGGAAAGAAATAGGAACAAAAAGCAACAGGCAGCTAGGAGGTCTCTGATTTTCTTCTTGACAGCATCACTCTGATCATTGATAGCTACAGCCTACATTAAAAGTTTGCAATCACTCCTCTCTCTCTCCTTTTTGCTTTCATGGGCAATGGTCCATCTGCAAAAGGAAAAAAATTGCATTTGGTGGGCATTAATTGTTAGATGACTTTTGAAATTATAGCAAGAATTGCAAATCAGTTTCCTCCTACTTACTCTAACCCAGGGATGTCAAACTCACAGCGTCACAGTATCCTCATGTGATGTATCACAACTGTTTTCCCCTTTGCTTAACTGGGCATGGGCATGGCCAGTGTGTGATCTAGCCCCCAGGCCACGAGTTTGATCCCTCTGCTGTAACCTATAAAACAATTGTTAGGGATATACCCTAGCAGAATGTGCACAGCAGTCAGGCAGTCAGGCGAATATGAGAGAAAGCATTTTTTAGTTTACACACTCAGTAAAAACGGATACATTGTCTTAGTTGAATAGTTTATTCCATTAAGAGTTTAGCAGGATCAAACAGTCCAAATATCATTCACTAGTGTTCAGTCAGTTCAGTCCAGAGATTGTTCAATTCCAAAAATCCAGTGTTGAAAAAAAAAAGGTTAACTTACAATGTCAATTCATAAATCAGTCCAGTAAATATCTTCTCACAGTAGATTAGATATGCAGCATTCAAAACTCTTTCCTCCTTCGACGTCAGCAACAGGGAACACGCAGAACAATCAACCATCAATCCAGTAGCAATCCAGGTTCTCTAGCTCCCTCTTATGGCAGTTTCTCAACCGCACCCAAATTATATCATTTAGAGTTTAAAGTGAAAAACACATTTAAACTTTGCTATCATGGTTTATATATTATTTACCCAACGTTAGGTAACTATGGTTATTCCTAACATACTCCCCTTTTGGGTAACATAAAAATATATACATCTCTTTACAATCTTAATCCATAATCATCACAACTTTCTTTGTGTTTGATTGAACCTTGGGCCTTCGTAAATTGATCAGCTATATTGTCTTCAGACATACAATATTCCAGTCTTATCAAATTACTTTGTACAGATTGCCTTACATTTACATATCTAA